CTACTACTCGTCCTGCTGCTGCTGCTGCCACTACTACTACTACTACCACCACTACTACTTCTCCTGCTGCTGCTGCTGCTGCTGCTGCTGGTGCTGGTGCTGGTGCTGGTGCTGGTGCTGGTGCTGCTACTCCTGCTGCTGCTGCTGCTGCTGCTGCTGCTGCTGCTGCTGCTGCCACTACTACTCCCCCTTCTGCTGCTGCTGCCACTACTACTTCAACTAGTACTACTTCTGCTACTATACTACTACTACTACTACTACTACTACTACCACCACCAGTACCACTACCACTACTACGACTACGACTACTACGACTACTACTACTACTACTACTACTACCACTACTACTTCTCCTGCTGCTGCTGCTGCTGCTGGTGCTGCTGCTGCTGCTTCCACGAGCAAACACCACTCAAGATGCCGAAAACCTATCCTCAATGGCCCGGAACCACAAAATTATAACAAAACCCCACAACCCCTAAGCCCTAAAACCTCAAAGCCCGAAGCCCAAAACTCCGGACCTAAAGACCTTTAACTCCGAAAGGAAACCCCTTAAACTTCTGACACAAAGACTCTAGCATAAGAAAATCTATAATATATAATATATCCAAATTGGGTTTGGGCTTAGGGGCCCTCTAGGGGTTTAGCTGTTTTGGCATTTGGGGCTAAGAGATCCGATGGTGCGAAATCCCGGAACCACGTAGCAAACACTCAAGCCCCTTAAAATCCAAAGGCCTGAACCCGACTCGGACAAGCCCATCGGGTTTTAGGGGTTTTGTTATAAATGTTTTGGCATGGAGGGCTGAGGCCAGGCTTGGTTTTAGGGTTCGGGGTTGTCGGGTCTAGGAGTCGGGGGCCATTGGCTTTCAATAGAGCTAGTTAGTAGGCAGGGCAGCAGCAGAAGCAGGAGGAGGAGGACCTTGTGTATAGTAGCAGCAACTACAGTACACCAGTTGTCGTTGGTGGTGGAGGTGGGGACGGTGGTTGCAGAGATTGTTGAGATTGTACCGTGGTTGCAGTGCAAACGAAGTAGCTGGCAGTAGTCCTAGTATACTTATAAGTACTGTACTACTGCTACAGTATCGTAGTAAGAAGAGCATATACATATAGTATATAAAAACATATATACATATACATAATACATAATACATATACATATATACATACATATATATATATATATAGTCGTACTTTATTTTAAATGGGGTGCCCGGCACACCAAGCCTGGGGCTCGACCGAGCCCGAACCCATAAGAAAAACCCTAAGTAACCCTAAACCCTAATCTCTAATTATCTAGGTATGACGACTCAACCTAAACACCATCCTTGCCGGTTGCCGTGTCAGCCAAATACGTGGAATCTGGGTTATAGTTCACAGCTTCGGTCTCCTTATAATGGAAGCACTAGCTGTAAAATCTGCTAGATAACTAGAACTGATTCAGTATGCCTGTTATGGTGGTTGGAGGACTCTATCTACATATATATATATATATGTATATAGGTTAGGGATCTTCTTGCAGGCTTTCTTGGGTGAGGTACAAGATAGCACAACACCGAACTAAGGAAGTCTGGGAGATTGCGGTGGCTATGGGATCCTGGGCTTGATTGGCTGGGGTCCCCTAATGCCCGAAAAGCAATTAAGCCCCAAACCCTAGAGGCCCCGAAGCCCATGCCCGAAAAGAAATTAAGCCCCAAACCCTAGAGGCCCCGAAGCCCAAAGAGCACATGCTCAATTTATTGCCGGTGCCCCGAAGATCTAACCCTAAACCCTAAACCCCTAAACCCTTACATAAACCCCTAAACCCCTAAAGCCCTAAACCCTAAAATATATTGACAAGTCAGCCGAAATTATCTGCAGCAACCCCTGGCTAGCTAATTGCGAGACATCAATAATGAATCTTACAGCCCACACTTTAAGGAGTAGCCCAGGGTCCAAAACTATAGGCTAGAGTAGATTTTGTATACGTGAAAAACCCAAGCACCCCAAAGCCGGTAGCTGAGGCTCCCGAGCCGCCCGGAGAAAGGGTCGGTGATGCTTTTTTTTATGGGGTTCAGGGACTCTTACATATGTATATATATATATATATGTTATATATATATATATGTTATATATATATATAGTAGATAGGATCTATTTAAGCTACGGGGCTTTTGGGTTCGAGGGGGCTTTTGGGTTCGAGGCTAGTTCCAGGCCTTTTGGTTTTAGGTTCTGGTCTTAGTTAAATAGAATTAAGAGCCTGTCACATTGTTCTATATGTAGGGAAGCATATGCATCTGGTTTTGGGTCCTCGTCAGTAGACAATTTAACACTAGAGGTTTGGGCGACTAGATGATAGCCAGCTATCAAATATACGGACACTATAGCTCTTTACCCATGGACCCCAAATCACTTGCCGAGGAGTCTTTGGGATTTAGGGTTATCGGGCTCCGGGTATTGTATACATGTTGAACTAGACAGCACCTAGCTTAAATTGCTAGCTTACCTAATGGAGGACGAAGCAAAAATCCTGTAATACAAACCTCGGTGCAACCTTAAGCTCAAAACCGTCGGCGTACAAACCCCGATGTCCTGTGATCCGATTTATGTAGCAAGACCTCTGAATATCGAAACCCAAAGCCACGGGATGGTCGCACCGTGAATGGCCGATCGAACGGCCCATCCTTCCAGTCGTGGCATCCTGTCATAGAGTTTCAAGTTCAAGGTAAGTGTAACTATATAACATATAGACATATGATCTGTTGCAGCAAGCACTTGCACTCGCGATTCCGTGGATGTTGCATACTGCCTGCAGCTCTGCAGCCTAAGCTGTTTTAGCACATGCGGCACAACTCGTCGTACCAGCAACGATGCCAAGCTTTCTGTCGAAGCTTTGAACCCCCCATTGAAAGGAACGGCACCACACGGTGCTCCCACCGTGCGGCGGAAGATCAGGCTGCTTTGCTGCACACTGATCTAAAACCCAGCATTGCAGCTTTCACTGCAAGCAAAACCCAGCCAGCTCATACCCAATCATAATCATCTCCATCACACACACATGTAATCGTACTAGTCCGTCTCCTTGTAAGCCTTAGATCCACATGAGTTTGGGACATATATGCATGTATGCTGCAGGTGGCACAAATAGACACAAACGAAGCACTCACATACATCCATGTGTGCACGATCATACAAGCGACATGTTGTGCGGCTTGCTTGGCCACGTCTGCGGGGAGGCCTGCCTTGATTGCATCTGCCTTCGCTTTGTGGTATGCACATGACTTCCTGGACTTCTTCCGTCGCTCTTCATCGTCGTCGTCGCCATTCGGGGTCTGGGCTCTTTTCGGCTTGGAGGGTTCCGGTGCAGCCGCCTTCTTTGGGGCTGCCTTGGCTTTCGCTTTGGATTTCGGCTTCCCTGCGGTGCTCTCCTCAGCGGGCTCGGTGTTCTTGGAGTCCTTGCTTTTTTTGCGGCTGCGGGGCTCGGCATCAGGATCGCTCTTGGCTCGTTTCGTCGACGAAGCTCTGGCCTCGACAACCTCGGTATCTTTGCAAGAACCGTTCCCACGACCACGGCCCTTTGTCGAACCACCACGACCACCACGGCCACGACCCTTAGTCGAGGCACCACGACCACGATTCGTGGTCGAACGACCACGACCACGGCCCGCTTTCCCCCTGCCACGACCAGCCTTAGCAGCCCTGGCTCTGGTCTTTGAGCCACCAGAAGAGTCAGCCTCTGAGTCACCTTCTTCTTCGTCGTCGCCGTCGTTGTCGTCAGCTTCGTCGCCGGCATCGTCGTCGCTATTGTGTGGCTGCGGCTGCTTCTTAGACACTCGCTTGCTTGGGGCGGCATTCGTGAGCTTGACCTGCTGCTTCGGCGACAGAGAGGTCTGTGTCGGAACAGGACATGCTGGCAGCACCTTAGCATATACAGTCTGTACATGCATGCAATGCACACTCGACCAAACATGACACAAGCCGTGCATGAACATGCATACAGGACTTAATGAAATGCGATTGTGCTGCGTCTCCTTCCATAGGCCCCGTCCCAGTAGCAGGATCAACTTCAGGACCCACAGGTGCTGCATCTCCATTCGAAGTCTTAGGCCCTGTAGCAGAATCAACATCACCCTTTGGTGCTGCATCTCCATCCGAAGTCTTATGCTCTGTAGCAGCAGAATCAACATCACCCTCTGGTGCTGCATCTCCATTCGAAGTCTTAGGCTCTGTAGCAACATCAACACCAGGACCCATTGGTGCTGCATCTCCATCCGAAGTCTTAAGCTCCACAGCAGAATCAACTTCGCCCTCTGGGGCAACTGATTCCTCGGCTTGCTGACAGGCACCGGAAATCGAATGTGGCAGCTCCTCCATGGAGCCACTCGGAATCACCTGGGTCTCCATGTTGTCGTAGCCTGAGGTGCGATGGGGTTTTATTTTATAGGTTTAGGGTGTTCGGGTTTAGGGATAATTTATAGGGTTCAGGGTTTATATAATAGGGGAGTTTGGGGGTTTGCGATCTCAATTTATAGGATTAGTTTATAAGGCTTCCGGCTTAGAGGTGTTATTTTAGGTTTAGGGTGTTCGGCTTTACGGATAATTTAGGGTTCAGGGTTTATATATAAGGTTTAGGGGAGTTTGGGGGTTTGCGATCTCGAATAATTTTAGGTTTAGGGTGTTCGGCTTTAGGGATACTTTAGGGTATAAGGTTTAGGGGAGTTTGGGGGTTCTTAGGGGTTTTATTTTAGGTTTAGGGTGTTCGGCTTTAGGGATACTTTAGGGTATAAGGTTTAGGGGAGTTTGGGGGTTTGCGATTATAGGATTAGTTAAGGCTTCAGGCGTGAGAATGCTCGCGTGGATTTGGGTCGGGTCTATCAAGCTAAACTTAGGAGGCTCAGGGCTTATGGTTTAGGGGATTCCATAGATAGTATAGAGAAAGCTATATTGGGAGCTTTATGTGGGTTCAGGCTTTTCGGCTGTTTGTTTGCAACCTAGGCACCAAAGTCACCATCTTTCGGCACATCAGTCGGCTTGCTTGCAGGTTTGGGCTTCAGGGCCTTTGCTGCTGCGAGTTCAGCAATTTCAAGTGCTCGTTTCTCGTTCAGCAAGCCCTGCAAAAGCTGTTCCTCGTTTTCCAGCTGTTGCAAAACCAACATCTGTTCCAGCTCCTTCTCCTCCACTTGAAGTCGATAGAGCTCTCGTGCCATTTCGAGGTCATACTGTTCTTGCCGAGCTTTAGCCTCCATTGCTGTTTTATCAAGGGAAGCTTCGGGGTCCGGGGCATCCTTCGGCTTGCATGGGCTGGATCTGATCCAGCGAATGTCACCCAGAAGTCCACAGATCAAGCATTCGTAGCCATACCGCCTCTCTTTCACCGTATAATGCAATCCCTTCGCCCGGGCATCCGATTGAGGAGAAAGCGGCTCATCACCTAAGATCATATCTAGCTACAGCACACCGGCGATTCCACGATCGAAGACAACAAACCTCTGCGTGAAAAAAACCCTCCCCAACCTATAGCAAGATGCGGACTCGAGGAGGTGGTGTCGTGATGCTGGCAGACGAAGCATTCGAGGCACCTGGGCAGCAAGGGTTTGGGGTTTAGGTTAGGGTTTAGGGTTTCGGGTTTCGGGTTTAGGGGGTTGGCTGGGCTTTGGAGCTGAGCAGCAGTCGAGGCCAGGAGCAGCAGGCGATGCAAATCGGGGGCTGGGACTGGGAGTGGCCGTTGTTGAAGCTCGGGTGCTGGAGGGGTCACGGCACGAAGGCTTGGGTCGATCAGCTTTTGCTACCTTCGGTGCATCCGAGGCAGCTGTTGGCTTCGGAGCCGGCCCAGCACCACGGTCAGCAGAAGCCTCTGGCACCTTGGGGATCAGTAGGGAGTTAAGGTTATTCGTAGGGTCTACAATCGTCTAGAATGCATCGGGATTGACATATTGGCTTAAGTATAATAAGTCACATCGTCTTCGGGCTCGGTGGTTGTGCAGCTGCTCGACTCATCATCCTCGTTGCTGTCGTCACTGCTGGAAGAAGCACTATCTCCCTCTGGGCCTTAGATACAGCCAAAGTCTGAAGCCCACTAATAAAACAGTAGTCACCCCCTCCCATGATCGGCTAGTTATTGCCATCCAAATGTCATGCCAATCCAACATCAGCCATTAAGCGGCGAAAGTCCGCTTGCCGGGGTCGATGGGGACGTTTGGCGATCCGCGAAAAAATCGAGATCAAGCGTTTAAGCAGCCATGCCTGTGTCCGGATATAATTACCTCGGATGATAAGGCCCCTTAAGAATTTGCTAGGCATGCAGAACCTACTCAAGCTTAGGAACAGTCAGGCATCGGCCGTGAGCCTGGCTTGTGGTCCATGTAAAGTCGTTGCAAATAGCTCGCGACCAGGTCTATGCTCGGCCGCAATCCTGAGATAAGTGTATTTAGGGTTGAGGGTTGAGGTTTAGGGTTTATTTATATATAGAATCTTGCAGTAGGATCGATGGCATCACAGTTTGAAATAGCTAATGCCCCCGAGTAGCCAACCAAGTTCACCAAAGGAACCAGGAGATCGCGATTCGCAACACACGTGTGGCGAGTCAACTTCTTACTCCCGCCCAGAACAAGAAGACTCTTCTCAAGAAGTCGCGAAAGAACCAACGAGCTATCCGACCAGGCTTTCACAACAGCACAATCGGCAGCGGCCATAGGCACAGACGACATGGTGCAATCGATGTAGGCTGCTAGATCGAAAGTCACCACAAAAGTTGCAAGCCTCAAACCAGGCCCTCTAGCTCCAAGTGGACCCTGCATGAAGTCATGGTACCTGGATAGCACCTGCATGATTAGAAGCCCCATCAGGTCACGAAGTTGAGCCAGCTCTAGCAGCATGATTCATCGGAGGTTACATGCAAATCACTGCATAGCTGCACAATAAAACTGGCCAGTCTGGCGTGATGTTCAAAGCCAGCCCATTTCCATAGCAGCCCATCCAAAGTACCTGCGAATGGCACAACTAAGGTATCGGACTATGTGCTCTCGCTCTCGGTCAGAATGCATGCACAAACCGACATCTGCACACACACACACACTCACACTCTCAATCACGATTGCGACCTAGGTCGGGGGGGGCGCACTGGAGGAAGAAAGGCCAAAAATGGCGGGACACGGAGGTGAAACATGTACGGTATCGGGATATAAGCCAGCAACGGCTGTAAGTGGCCGGGCTCTCATGACAAAAAGCGCACGAATTTCCAAGAAAGCGCTCGATTTAAAGGAAAAGTGCTCAATATTCGCCGGCAAAACCCAAATCCCGGAAAAGTGTATCAACCAGCCCTCGGGCACAAATTTGTGCTACAAACGATGGTCCAGGTAGGGTTTAGGGTCTAGGGTTTAGGGAATCAGTTTACCCTATAAGGGTCCAAGTACTCATTATTTAAGGACTTTGGGGTCTTTACGGGTACCAAAAACCATAAATAAGGACTACTTGGACCCTTAGGGTTAGTGTGTAGGCTGTAGGAAGGTGGGAATGATCAGTGGGAAACTCTCCTTATCTCTCCCATTCGAATATAGTTTTGGTATATGCGCCGAAACGTGTCCTCATTGTCATTGTTGATTCCCTTACATCCCCCTTTGAGCCCGGTAGCTTTTTAGGGGGCTGTCATGTACACGAACTGAGGATCTCAAATACTTTCGGTAGTGTATAAGTCAGTCTAGGAAAAGACTTCCTGAAACTGTCATGGAATAGGCTATTGATATTGCCTCTGCCTCCTCATGGCCGCTGTTTTGTAATGGTCCATTCAAGCTGATATAGCTGCCTCGGCAATTAGAACGGGGCTTTGGGGCAGATTAGTCTAATACTGTAATGACGGACTGTAAGGCGTAGCATTAGTGTTTGTATGCATTTATCATCTCAGACTGCCAGTGCAACCCTACGCACAACGACGTCCCACCCACTGCTTTGGCATCGTATCTCGTAGCAGTCGTCATTTGGCTGTTCCTTCGGGCCTTACTTGTCGTCCGGTGTCTTCACCGCAGCTGCTTTTTTCCTCACTGCCTCTGTTCAACTTGCTGCTACTGATGATCTTGTTGGCGCGCGGAATGTTTGCATTCCTGCTACGCAGACATGGTATGCCATCACTGCAGCAGTCGTTAGTTGACTCGTGTCTGGAGGGCTTGAAGGCTTACGGGTAAAGTGCTTAGAGAGAGCGACTGTATTCAGGTGGACCTCACCGTACCTCAGTCCTCATGATTTGAACCTTGAGTCCCCCAAACAACATACAAGAAAGGCCACGTCGGCCTTGCCTTCGCTGGTCCTAAAGACTCAGCGACTCAAATGTTGACAAACCCTAAACCCTAAACCCTTAACCCTTTAAACCCTAAACCACCCTAAACCCTAAACCCGTTGATGCCTCGGGAACCCAAAATCGCCCCATCCAATCGAGAGCCTTACACAAGTACGACCTCAAGCCCCCGAATCAGCACCCCGGCCTTCTCCCCTTGAGGCTGCGTGTAGTCCTGCCAGTGCGCTTTCATTACGGAGAGCTAAAAATCTTCCCTTGACCTCCCCAAACCCTAACAGCAGGCAATCACCCGGAAGACGTCTTTGGTGCATAATCTGCATAGCCCTTAACCCTTACAATATTAGCTTACTGGATCCAGCCCTAAACCCTAAATCCTGAAAGCCAAACTCCAGACCGACCTGCCACCCGGACCCGAATTCATGACTACCATCGGTTTTGCTTAAGGTGATGCTTCTTCAAGCAGCGGTCTTAGAGTACTGCGCAAGTATCCGGATTGTTTCCACCATTATCAGTATGTATGTGTATGTATATATATATATGTGTGTGTGTGTGTATGTGGGTNNATGTGGGTGTGTGTGTATATATATATCAGTAGTAACACGCTGCAGTATTCTAGCATGAGTATTATAGTATTGGTATGAGTATCATTTTTCACCGCTATATACTTACAAGTATTTTTTGTGGTAGTATTGCAGTGCGGGGTATTGTTGTTGCCATTGCTAGAACCAAGTACTCAGGACCCTCTTGCACCAGCAAGCCCTGGCGGCTGACCTTGTAGGAGCCAAGGAGAAGGGCCATCAAGCTCACACAGCAGCTCTCCGACTTCTCCCGCTCAGCAT